AATTTTATGTCTTATAGGGTTTATACTGAGTTCAATATTGTACAACTGTATTAATTCAACTGTAAACCTAAAAATTTGCAGCCAATTTTGAAGGAGATGCATCTTAGCTCTGGAAATTGTTATTGAATATGTCAATGCTGTTGTAATGAAAAAAAAAAAAAAAGAGTAGTCAGCAACTCACCAAGGCCTCCCAGCTTAAGGTTGAGATTACTAGCACCCTTGACTCTGGTGAGTGCAGAGGATATAAGGTAGGCAAAATAGGCTTGTTAGGGACTGGAGAAATGGCTCAGCAGTTAAGAGCACTGGCACTTGCAGAGGACCCAGGTGCTATTCCCAACACCCACATGGAGGCTAACAACCTTCAGTAACTCCAGTTCCAGGGGATCCAACGCTTTCTTCTGACCTCTGAGGGCGTTGCACTTGTACTCATGCAGGGAATACATTGATAAACATAAAATAATAAATAGTATTTAAAAAAGGCTTGTTAGGTTAGCGTTTATCACATAGAACTTAAATGAACTGATCTACCAAGCAGTCAGTCTGTTATCTGTCCCTGTCTACCCTTTAGTAGGCAAAAATTAGGAGGAAGTTAAGGAAAAGATAGATTAGATAGAAGGAGAGACTACATAATTCAGGAAGTCTAAAAGCTCAGTAGACTATACTTGTTAGCTCCCAAGGTTTTATCTGCATTGCAGTTTAAATGGGAAAACTTATCTCAATTCATATGATGTTTGGAAAATATCACTAAATTTAAAAATCTACTGAATGACAATAATAGCCAGAAAAGCAACAATTCAGATTTTTGCTGAGATTTGTCAAAATCATAAAATTTGAAAATTTAAAACAAAAAAATATTTTCCTCAATTGAGAAAGCCACCATAAAATGTGTTATGTCAAAATGTAGTTTATATGAAATACTAAGAAACTCTAGGAAATAATCATCCATGAAATAATGTGTATAATTTTAAGATGAGTTCAGTACAAAAGGATAAGAAACAGTCTTAAGAATTTTAATCTCCTTCCTTTCACATGCTGTTTTCTTTGAGTTGGTCTGAGTTTCTGAGGATTTCCAGCAGCATTGATTCTTGACTCACGTAGCAAGTTTTCTCATCTCTGTGTGGGAAAGAGGCACATGGAATACAGTTGTCTGAGGTTAAGGAACTAGTATGTGGTTTAAATTTTTCACATATATAGACACCTGTATATTCTTTATTGGTCCAGAAAGGAATTAAAACAGTTTATAAGAATATTTAAAGTATAGAAGGATGGTATAAAATTAAAATAAGGGCATGGAAATTAAAAAATACAGTAGGGCATAAATGAAGCTGGGAACAGTGCTCAGAGGGTTGTGGGTTTTCATGTTGGGCTACTTGGCCTTTGGGGGCACTAAGCCTTGAACTTTGGGATTAGTGATGTTTTCTAGGAACTGACACATTCCGATATATTCCAGGTAGAGGAAGCAGGGGTCTCGGTCTCTCATTTGCTTGTATAGTGTGAAGTCTGTAAAGCGTGTGCTTCACCATAGGATAGTGATGTGAAAATGATGTTGTCAGCACGTCTATGCCTAAGCAACTGATATGAAGACACTTACCATTCAGTCAGGAAATTAAAATTTAGTATGCTAATTTAATGTTAAATACTCTTCTCTGAACATGGTGTCAGTCTGTGCTGTGGATGCTTGTATGTAATAAAGACAAGATTTCCAGAGCTGAACAGATTGGAGAGCCATAGTGCCTTGTTTGTACAGATGAGATGCTGTTGTGTACTTCCCAGGGCTGGGTGCAAATCAGATGCAAGTCATGATTCAGTTGAAGTGCTTTGGGAATGATGAAGATTTATGTGGGATTAAGATGGTGTTAATTGTTTTTGGCACAGGAAAAGAGTCAGTCAGAATATTTGAAGCTCACCCAAGAAAAAGAGCAGCAAGGATCTTTGGCTCTAGAAGAGTTAGAATTGCAGAAAAAAGCAATCCTTACAGAAAGTGAAAATAAGCTCCAAGAACTTCAGCAAGAAGCAGAGACTTACCGAACTGTAAGTTTAAGTAACATACAGGTTGCAGAGCTGTGAACTTACTTGTATATGAAAACTGTTGTTCTCTCTCCAGTTAGTATAAAGTTTCAGATAAGCTTTAACTTCAGAGGGTTAGATTTATGTCTACATTACCACCATCTTTAGACAATAGAGGGATTCATGGGGTGATTTTGGCTCTGGGGCTCCGTGTTTGCTACGTTGTGCTTCTCTGTGTGCCGTTAACTGACTATGGTTCTCTTAGTCCTTCACTCTGCCTCTTTGCACTCAAGCTCTGCAATATCTCCACTCCATTGCTTACTCACCTGGGACTACTAGGACAAGGCCTCCTTGTAGGCAGCATGTGCCCTGGCAGCTTCATGCTTGTCCAGCTTCATCATAAACCATGTCCTAGCTATAGTCCATTCTCTGCTTTTATCAGTTTAGTTACCAGTGCCCTGCTTTTACATTAAAATTTTTCTCATATTAAACATTGTCTTAGAATGAAGTATTTGTATATATGTCTCAGTGTGCATATCTAAAAATTTTTTTATTGAGTTTTTGTGCATTTCTTATAATAGTTCTTAATCAAATTATCCCCCTCCCATCCACAGCCCCCCTTTACCCCTCTCCCCACCAGATTTCATGCATTCTGTCATATATATTAAGTCCTATCAGGTTAAGTATTTGTACCCTAGCAAGTTCTTGTCAGCCTATCGAGATCTTAAAGAAGATCTACTCTCCCTCACCCAGCAGTTACCAGTTGTCAATAGTTCCCTTACTAGGGTTGAGACCTGCTGCCCATTTCCCCTGTTCTGTGCTGGGTTTTGTCTGATTGAGTCAGCATGGGTCTTGTGCATGCTGTCAGTATTGCTGCAAGTTCATATAAACAAGTTTCCAGTACCCTGACAAGCCTCTGTTTCCTTATATTCATGCACCAACTCTGGCTCTTAGAGTCTATCCCTAGGCCAGGGGCACACTCAGTGTACATATTTTTGAGGCTCTTGGACCCTTTTCCATCATCAGTATTTGAAATGTGCTCCCTGTTTTAAAAACATATTAATGGTATTTAGGCTTTGTATCTTGTTGCTGTTAGACTGCAAAGCAGTGACGCTTCTTCCCATAGTTCTAAAATCTACTCTTCTGTCACCAGCACTTACAATCAGTGACATGTTGGAAGCAAGTGGGCACTCAGGTAGCTCAGATCTGCTTTTGCCACCTTTGTAAATTAATTGTGCCTTAACTTGTTTGACAGTCACGTGAAGATATTAGATTTACCAATCTCTTAGGACTTTTCCACACTGACCTTCAGAGTGAGATTGATATTTTATGAGATAATGGAAATCTTTGATTAAAATGTTTAAGTATCTTCTTAAAAAACAAAACGAAAGAAAAAAAACTTCCAGCCTGGTGAGATGGTTCAGAGGGTAAAGGTGTTTGCTGTGAGCCTGACAACCTGCATTCAATCCCCAGAGCCCGTGATGGAAGGAGAGAACCAACTCCTGAAATACCTTTTCTGCCCTCCACAGCCCATGCCTACCCACACACACATACACCATATATGTATTACACACACAAATAGTAAATAAAATTAAAATTTAAAAACCTTTCAAGTTGTACTTTTGGGGGTAGAAAAATAGGGCATTTTCCCCCAAAATTAAATGATCAAAGTAATAAAATACTATTAAAAGCCTAAAAGATGGGGAGGCGAAAGACCAGTCTTCCTACCAAAGCTCACTATTACCTGTTTTTTGATTTATTTCCTTTTTGACTAGAAAATTAGATTGTTCTTGCAAATAGAAGTTGAAATGCTTACCCCAATTAAAAAAAACAAAACAAAACAAAACACAGAACTAAGGACCTCCCTCCCCCTGTCTGCCCCCCCAACTTGAAGAATAGTGTCTGTGAGAAGGTCACCTTCAAACTTAGGGCCATTGAATCTTAAA